TAAAAGACATTAGTGAACTGAAATGGGCCCATTTCTTTGTTAAAAGGTGACAATCCAAAGTTAAACGAAAGTGATTAAGGTTAAGGGGAAAATATTCATTGTATAAACGTCACCATGTTGCACAAAAACAGCATTAAAATAGTAAAATGATGCATTGCCTGGTTGCAGGATTTCTGCCACATGAGGCATCAGTTTGAACTTTTCTTTACAATTTATTTCAACAATATTTTATTGGTATTATTTTTACATACATGATCCAGTCCTCCTCTAAATGTAATCCAGTACAATGCAGACATCAACTAATAAGTAAATCTACCTTTGTATAATTTAACACAAAGGTAATTTGAGGTTTTTTTTTAGATATTCATTACGAGCTGTTTGTCAAGAGATGGCACAATGAAGACCAAGAAAAGAAAAAGAAAAAAAAATTGTGAAGATGTTTAAATCAGGGATAGTTTAGAGAAAAAACAATCCCAAACCTTCATCGTCTTATGCTACGTTCAGGCCGCATGCAATAGAAGCCGCAGGTAGGTGTTATAAACTGCAGGCAGCAGGATAATAAAAGCGAACATATTCTGCCAGCAGGTTCCTATATTTGAAGTTAATTTAGGTGTTAATAAACTGTTTCAGAGGAGTGATCATAGCGCTCTGCAGATGATCAGAAGCTCATAAGGTGCAGCTTTAGCTGCAGGACGTGTTGCTGCGCCATGATGCGTGTCAGCCATTGCCTTTACATGTAAACCAGCAGCTTCTGCTGCTTCAGTAGCATGCGGTCTGAACGTAGCATTACAGAGCTCTGCCTACACCAACATCTAAAGGAAAAGTTGTCCAACAACAGAAACCTACCAGAACACGGCGTTCCAACCTAGGGTACTAGCTTGCTAGCTAAGCACAGTTCTCACTGTAAAGCACTTTTGATAGAAATTAAAATCCTAAACACTTACAGTAAAATGTGGATACAACTTCAACATAGCTTTAAACATCATTAATGCAAAGCAAGCACACATGCAATCCAGTAATGTGATAAAAAAAAATTGGGAAGAACTAAATCCAGGTCTGAAACACAGGTTATATATGCAAACAGCCACATACTGAGGGCCAGAGGAGCATGTAGGAGACTAGGAAGATCATCACTGATTGATTTCTACACTCACCGGCCACTTTATTAGGTACCCCATTGTTAGAGTGATAACTATCCTGTGTTTCAACCAGAAGGGTCATAAACTTTTATGAC